CTCCTCACTGAGATCAGCTAACCATGAGATCAAACTAAGATCCTTCCAAACCTGGGTTAGCAAGAAGCAGTGCACTGTGGGGAGAGCTTGTCATGTGCATTTGTTGTTGCGCAAATCATCCGGCTGTTGATAAATGAGAGTTGAAAAGTGGATGGTTTCAATTGATGAACGAAGCCTCGTCTCCATTGAAGCCAAATTTGTTTTTAAACCAGCTGTCACCTTCGAGCCAGTGCAATCCCTTTCGCATTTCGGTATCAAACGCCAAGCTAACAATACATTGTTCAACGAAGGATAATGAACGAGCTGGCAGTGCCATTAGTGTGAGTGTACAGATAAACAGTCATCAGTTAATTACAGGGAGATTGTTATCTTGTATGAGATCCGTATCGTATGCTTTTCCATTTAGGATTCTGTGTTGTCGCGAGTTTGTGATTAATGTTTGTGAAATACGCAGATAGATTCATGTGAAATATGTAATTAGTGCCCATAGAATTTTTTCAGTAATGAACAGCGAGGTATTTGTCAGATATCTGGGGTAATGGTGTCATTTGCGTGCTTGTCATCACACATGAATTACACCAGTTTGTTTTACTCTGCCAACAACACAAAGCAGACCAAACCAAGCACCCAGAACATTAAGACTGCAGATTATCCAAATAGCCAAACACCTACTGCCCCCAACAACCTCATGGGTTCATCCCCAGACTGGTCAGTCGGTCAGGCTTCTATCCTGTGGTTTTATGATGTCTCTCCTGCTTGTTGAGATTGTTGTCCTGAAATCCCTCCAGGAACCCACACTCCTGGATTAAGTTCCATCCCCAGCTCAGTTTCTACACAAATGCCAAACATTGCTTGGCACGTTCTGTAGTTCAGGTTATTTTGTAATTCTTTCATCTTAATTCTTTGAGACATCTGATAAGATGCTATATCAAATGTAAGAATTATTATTATTATTATCTGCTTTGTGATCACTTCTCATCTTGCTCTGAATTCTGTATTTAATATTTCAGATCTCTTCCATTCGCACCCCTCACCACTGGGTTCCCATTTGGCCTGTGAACCTACCCGCTACGTTCAAGTGTTGTGGGGTGGGGGATTGGCAGGGGGGACAGTGATAGCACGGGACAAATTAGATAGAGAACCTTGTTTAAAAAAATCCCCCAAAATTAAATCGATTGAAAACTCAATTGACGAATGCCTCAAATTATGGGAACTGCATAAAACTGTAGCGTTGAGCGCAGCAAAGTCTATTAGGATTGTGGTTCAAGTGCCGTAATAACCCATGTCTGATTTGCTCCTAATTCCCTTGTCGATATTCGACTCAAATTGTTCCCTACAGGTAGAGTGCTCTCATGGCAAGCGCCGGTATAAATTGTCACTGTCGGTGTCTGATTACATTCTACAGCCTTATTAATGCTATGTGTAAATGAGAAAGAACCATCACACATGCACCACTGATCAGATCTGTGATGCACCTCGGCAATTATTTTAGTTTATTTGGGATGAATCCCTGGTTTACTGGTGGTTGCGAGAGACTAATGAACTTTGCGCTACTCGTAACTGTGTTAAGGCTGTATTTATACTGCTGTAAGTGACAGCTGAATTCCACTGCCCACTCCACATCCCATTGGGTGCAATTGGAAACTGCAGCCTTTTTTTGGAGAGCGATATGTATAACTCTGCTACTCTTATTATTTCATGATATTAAAGAGTTTGTGATTCAATCTGCTCTTTAATGACAATCCTTCCGTTAGATATTGCACCTTTCATGTCGGAAAAATTTCACAAAGCGCTTCTCAGGATTTACTGTCAAGTGCAGTGACTGTATTTTGCAGGCGAATGTGACTGTCAATTTACACACAGCGATATCCCACAAAGAGCCTTGAAATGAATGATCCATTTTATTTGGGGTTTGTTAGCGAGGCACTGGCAGAGAGAAACTCCCTTGTCTTTTTGAATAGGCACATGCGATCTTTAACGTCCACCTGAACAGGCACAGATGGGACCTTGGTTTAATGTCCCATTCACCCCTGACAATGCAGCACATTCCCCAGGACTGAGCGCTACCAATGGAACCAAGTTTAAGAGAGGATTATATTTTGTTCAATCTTTTATAACCTTGTGCAGCTTCCTCACCAAATAAGCTGCATTTCATTGCATTTCACCAGTGAAAGGTATATTTATTGTTTGCAGAATAATTTTTCATCTACACTAGGCTACAAAGGAGTTGCAATTATATCAATGAATCAGATAGTGAGAAAGTACATTTTACTGACATTTAATTTGCTTTATCAGCCAAACAGTTTTACTGATCTCAGTACTGTATTTGCTCTTGTGCTGTTTCTCACAGATCACATCAAGGATGTATGATTTCAGCTGACGGTTTAAGGAGCTGCAATTCTGCTTTTAAAAGAAATTAACTACTTCTTTTAATTAACCTCATCAGAAAGAGGACCTTGTCATTTAGTTCTTTAATGTTCACTTCACTGTAAGCCCACAGAATGTTTTTGCGCACTGCTGTCTTCAGCCTTTTTTTGTACACAATCGGTTGTTGCAATGTATTAGATGCTGCGTATAGCTGAGTTACAAGCCTGTCCTTATTTTGTCTAATTAATGCAATTACTGTCACACATATTTATATAGGTGCGATATGAGGTGGCACTTCAGTGATTTGTGAAAACTTTGTCTCTCAAATGATGTAAAGTGTCATTTTTCACAATTTCCCCAATGGTATAGATGCAGCCACACTGCACCACATAACAAGTTTCATTTGCGTAGCTTCTTTCCCATAAACTAATCTCTTCACGTCATTAACAATGGGAGCACAGGATTCTGAATGAGAAGTGAGACGGATTTCAATAAGTAATAAATTCAAAATAATCCTTGTTTACTATGTAGCAACTCTTTCAAGGAAGGAGGACATCTCCTCACAGCCTAACCTTCAGTATGTCCAGCACAAAACCTCTGCTGAAACCCAGGATTACAATCTTCCAGTTTATAACTAACAATTGAGGGCCATTGCAATTGACACCATGTGTTATTTCAAGAATTCAGTGGTGCGTTTTCTCTCGCTGCCCCCGTTACTTTAGATTTGGCCTATTTTGGATTATTCCTACAATTCTGAATGGGAACCTCCCTGCTGATAATCGTGTTGCCATTAACAACCAGAGCAATTTAATATCAGAGAGAAGGCCCACCACTTTCGTTATTGTTTTGTTAGTGAGCTCTTTACATTGCATTTGGCCTGGGGGGATATTGGAGTGGCTGCACATTGGAGCAGGAGGATGCCATTCAGCCCATCAAACTTCTTCTGCTGTTTTTTTAGACTTTAGCAGATCTTTTAATTCCATTTCACCATCTCTCATGGTTCAGCGCGAATTAGCCTTAAACAGTGGACAAAGTTAGCCTATGTTTTCCAGGAATATTCCAAGATTCATCCAATGATTCCAGGAAAAGGCGGAAGGATTCCTGGCAGATGTACTGAACAAAGATCCCTACAACAATGATTTGGTTGCAAGGGATCCTCATCTGCCCATAGAGCTCAGATTGTAAATTCTCTTTTGTGTCTGGTTCTCGGCAAATGTCAAGGATTATTATACACTCAGAAGACGTCTCCACATATAGAGCTCAGGGAGTTACGGATGGATGGATAGATAGAGAGATGCTCCGCGTATCGACCTTCAGAAGGTTACAGTCAGAAATCGATACAACAAGCTTCGGACTCCAATACTGAAATGTTTTACAACGCACGACACAGAACACCAGAGATTTAAAAATGAATGAGAGCTTAATTAACAGGAAATATCTATTGTCCAGAGCTCAGTCTGATTGCAACCCTGGCTGTATAAACCCTGATCTTTAATGTAACCTCCACATTATAAGTGATTGGCAAGAGTTTTGAGTTTCCTTACAGATACAGAAGACATTAAGACTCCAGTGTGGCTCAACACAGCGCAAAACCCCTGATGTCAAGTGCTCCCAACCTTGCATGGCATGTAATTGTCACAGTGTGCCTCTAACTTTCAAACAGATACCAAAGTCACTCAACCTCGACAGTCCTTGTAAAATAGTGTCACCTATTCAGCGAGCAGAAAGGAGTTTAAGATCCACTTGAGCAGAAATTGTGTCAGGAACTGGATTTACTGGGCTGCGATTCTTCGAGGTTCCTAGGTACACACGCCAGGGTTACTCTGTCCTATTTTCTCTTCTCTTCAAAGGCACGAAGGGCCGGGCAGCCGTTGGTGTTACCTATGTGCGGTGTCCCAGAAACTGCACCAACTGGGACTGAGTGTCCCACTTTTTTTATTTTAGAAAGACGGTGTATTTTTACTCGCCGTTCATTTTCATATGATTTGCTCTTAATGTGCGTGTGGACAGCGCGATTGGAATGCGAGTTAAAACAAAGCCCTCGTTTGTGCCGAGGATGAAGAAACTGCTCTCTCAGCACCAATCAGAGTTTTGAAAGAGGTGTAACTTATCATTCAGGTGGCCTGTCATTTGGCCGCTCACTGAGTCACATGCTGTCTATTGAAACCGATTGGCCTGGTTTTACACTCGGACCCCATTGCAACACCTGCTGTGCATCATTGGCTGCCGCGTTTCGCCCACAAAATATATACAGTCAATTCATTTTACAGTCTATCCTGTGAAGCGCTTTGAGAAGTCTCGAAGACATAATAAGACGCTGTATCAAATGCAAGGATTATTATTATTATATCATTCACGAAAGCTAGATTTCACCTCGTTTTGCTAAAAGCCCCATTGAAAACAAAAAAGTCCTTTCATTCACAAATACCAAAGTGAACCACACTGCACAGACTGGCTCTCCTGAAATTATACAATAATAATAATCCTTGCATTTGATACAGCGCCTTATCACATCGTTGAGACGCTTCAAAGATTAGAGAACCCTGTTAGCACAGACAAGAGGGTCGAATGGCCTCCTTCTGTGCCGTAGTTACTGTGGTTTTGTATGAATATTTTGATAAAGTTGCACTTACCATGACTACCCTTAGTTGTACGGATGGGGGTGAAGTGGTTTTTGGAGGTTCTCACAGGGGAATTTCCCTTGGGGATCCCGTCGATGGCGGTGACGTTCTCTCTCTCGCAGTGCGGGACTGGGATTGGACCCTGGTTCCTCAGAATGTCTGCCAGAGCCCTGGAACAGTGCACGGAAAACACACTTATAACGTACAATAGTAACCTTTGCTTTGATCAGAGTGCATTACACGTCAGAGAGTAGTCTCAAAGAGCTTCACAGAAATTTACTGTAAAATAGAGTGATTGTGTATTCGTTAGTGAGTGTGGCAGTCAATATGCACACAGCAATAATAGTAATAGAAATCTTTGCATTTGTTATAGTGCCTTATCACATCATTGACACATCTCAAAGAGCTTCATTATTGTAAAGTGGATTGAGTGACTGCGTATTTTGTGGGCGAAACGCCCATATTATTTAAAATAAATATTTTTTTTGAAGGGATTATTACCCCCGAAAAATATGGAGTTATATTTCCTAGAGTTGAAGAGGTAAGGGGTGTTCTACTTGAGGTACCAGAGGTATTTCGAATAATTAGGGCAATTGACAAACCTGATAGGGAACAACTCTTCCCTCTCGTAGAGAAATCCAAAACAAAGGCATAATCTTCAAATCGGAGCTACCACAGTGAGAACTGAGATCAGAAAACATTGCTTCACACAAAGGTTGGTGAGTATGTGGAGTGCACTGCCATAGCAGGCTGTGGAGGAGAAATCGGGATTTTTAGAAGCAAAATGGAGACATAGATACAGTCCTTGAGAAGTGAAGGTATTATGGGATATTAAGAAAAGGTTTCAGGACAAACGATTAAGAGATGTGTGATGACGATGTAATACAATGATGGGATATACTTGGCAATTTGCAATACACTTTCTGCTGTTCCAGGGTTCCTTTGCCAACGGAGAAAGGTGCATATTACATCCAGAATGGTTATGGGAATGGCTGGGATTTCATGCCCAATACAAAGCAGACTTGAAGTGTGTAAGTGTGAATGTAACCCTGCAGTTGTAGCAATTCTGGTTCTCTTCAGTTCAGTTCTTCTGGTATTTGTGACCGATTGGTTGGTTTTGAGGGAGCAGCTTACAATGCAATTCAAGAGATTGGCAATGCACACTACATATGTTCTGTACTAATCATGGACCATGTTTATAAGTAGTGGTTTAAGCCTCTGACCTGCCACCAGCCGGATTGTTCTCGCCACAAATAGCAGAACGAGATTTTTTTCTTGCCTGACCTTTCCTTCCTCCAACTTCCATTTTCTCCTCTCTTTAACAATGTTATTGTTCGGAGAAACTAAATGTCACCAATTTTATTTCCTGTCACTGGATGTGACGTCGTCACGTGTGTCACGGCACAGCCTATCGATCCATGTTTTGTTTCTGACCAGAGTGGGTGGAATTTAATTTTCTTCTCATTTCAAACTCAATGTGTAACAATGTCGTGCAAGTCAAATACCCACCAGGCACTAGTAGGTTATGGGGATCAAACCACTTAATTGTGATCAAATATGGACCATTTGCACTTGCAATACTGCATTCATACAGGGCCTTCACACAGGAAAGCACCTCGGAGTGCCACACAGTCGTGGCCTGATCGTGAGCAAGGGAGAGAGAAGAGGAGGAGGTTATCATAGGTGCAGTCAAACAAGATGTGTGATGGGTCAGATCTCAATTAAGTGTCAGTGTGGCTCAGTTGGTATTGTTCTTGCCTTTGGGTCAGAACATTGTGGGTTCAGACTTCACGTTCAGCTCCTGGACTAGGTTGACTAGGTTCCAGTATTGGAACAGTGCTGCTCTGTCTTTTGAATAAGACATTAAACTGAGATGGACTTTAAAGACATTATTTAAAAGGATAAAATAATTTCTGGAGCCCTGTAGCTCAGAGGTTAGAACACTTGCCTCGCAAGCGAGAGGACCGAGGCAGGGTGGAACGTTGGGCAAGTTTCTTTACTCCACACACCCGCCTCTGTTACCAGCAGTAAGTAGGAACCCAGTTGTTAGTCGATTGGTGGATCGCTTTTCTGGGGTAATAATCCATCCAAAAAAAATAATAATGATAATTTGGTCACTCAATCCACAACTGTTTGTGGGACACTGCCTGTGTGCAATTGGCTCCTGCGTTTCGCCCAGAAAATATACAGTCAATACACTTAACAGCATATTCTGTGAAGCTCCTTGAGTCGTCTCGAATTGCTGTTGCAATTTGTGGTTTAAGATATTTTAATGTAATGAGGTGCTCAAAAAAAGTTCTTTCAATCTATACTTGTGCTACGTCATGGCACTTTGACGATTACTATTCTAAGCAAGTCAGACTGCAGACATTGGGAGAACTAACCCTCTTAGGGGAGGGAGCTTTCGCGTACGCTTCATCTTAGAAAGTACTTGAAAGAGTGGATTGAATCTTGAATTAAACCTTGGAGGATTTCGTAACACTGCCAATAACTCTCGGTTTAGTTAACATGGAACAACAAGCCCGCAGTGATCCATACATCTTAACCATACATAAGATTCCTTCACTCTTTTTAAAAAAATACTGATAAGCTTCCCTTTCACATCAATCTTCAAAGCACATTTTTTTTGTTTAAAAAAAACCCCCTGACAAGTGCTGTGACGAGGGATTGGAAACATAATGTGCAGAACCATTCTTAATAGATTGGAACGTGACATTATGCGATGATGAAGCAACCTGATAGCATTCAGCTTCTCAGACAGAGCTCCGACTCCATTAACCCTTTGCCGTTCGTATGTGAATGAGCCGAGATGGTGAGTGTAAGCAGCTCTTCCCTCACAGGGACTTCCTAGTGGAGCTCGAACCTTTACTTGCCAGAAATTCACCTCCGCGCACTTAACATTTGGGGATTCTGCCCCAGAACTGTACTCCAGCACAAGTGTAGAGAGCAGCAGAGGGGAAAATCAGCCTAAGATCTCAAGGTTTCTTTAAATTTGTGCAATTGACCAACCCACGATTATGCAGTATAATTTTATACAATTTACGTTTATACAGCGCCTTTCACATCAGGAGGACCTCTCAAAGCGCTTCACACAACTGACTGGGCACCTAAACGGGGGTAGGGGGGAGCTGAGGAGGGGAGGAAAGATGATTGAGTTATAATAATCCTTCCTTGCATTTGATATAGTGCCTTGCATGTCGTCAGGTCTTCTCAAAGCACATCCCAGGATTTTACTGTGAAGCACAGTGACTGTATTTGTAGGCAAATGGGGCAGCCGGTTTGATCACCAGCCAAATCCCACAAACAGCCATGACGTGAATGATTAATCTGCAACTTCTCTGTAAGGTTCCAAACAGCTTTATTCTGCCTGTGGCTGAGAAAGCTTCAGGTCGATGTATCTATCTTCGGTGATAACATAACGGGCAGCATTGGAAACGGTGTTTAGGGAGAGTGGTTTGGCGTTGTGTCGTGGTTTTATTTCACTTGGAGCAAAATGTAAACGTTTGTGTCATGTTTTCCCTGCGTAACGTTGGGAATTGGCCTAAATTATATGGATGGTCCCTGTTTAAATGTGCCGGGAATTGGGATGGAGTGGGAGGGAGGAGGTGGGAGGGGGGGTAGCACTAGCGTATATTCAATGGACCAAAGGATCTCCTGATATGCTGTACTTTGTGTGATTCTATGAATCAACTCACTCCTTTTTTACACAGTGTAATTCAATTTGAAACACCTCAATATCCATCATAAATCTGACGTAATAACTAATAGCACCCGAAGCAGGACGGTAGCTACTGAAAAAAACAGCGCTTCATAAATCGTCAGTTAAAACCACCCATCGTTTCACATCCCCAAAATCTGATTGTTTCAGCTATTTTTAAAAAGAATGTTTTGCTCAGTTAAATAAGAAAAAATCAAGCTGCATTGATTTTTTTTAATTGCTTTTTTCATGCACATAACACGCACGCACACTCTCACCCACATATAAAGCAGATTGGCTTTATAGCCTGATTGTCTGATACAGCGCCAGCCCTAACTGGAAACTTGAGAAAAACAGGAATGGTAAAGGATATGGGGGAAGAGCAAGTCATGGGATTAGAGTTGTGATCGAACACCAGCACAGATACATGGGGAGAAATCATCATCATCCTCGCATTTGATATAGCGCCTTATCACGTCATCGAGGCAACTCAAAGTGCAATACCGGATACACTGTAAATGGTTTTGACTGTGCATTTTGTGGACGAAACGCAGCTGCCAATTGCACACAGCAAATGACCCGTTTTTCTGCTGTAAACTTGTATGATTCTGAATGTCGCCTTGTGAAGTGTTAGTTTCACTCCAAACACCCGCTGTGGGTGGGTGAAGTCCATGATAGGGTGGGTTTTGCCCTGGTTGTGGAAGCAGTGACACACCAGGCCGTATGGAACTTTCCTTGGCCGAGCGGTGTTGGATTATTGTGTGTTGGCAACAGTAAACGAAGCATCTGCCGGTGACAGGATCGACATGCCATGAATGAATAGGCATAAGCTGCTGCAGATAGATAGAATGCACCAACTTCCAGGCTTGTTATCATGTCTGTATGGTCTAAGCAGACTTGGTTGATTTTTCTCCTCCGTAACCCAGGGGCAATGAAGCAAATTTTCGCTGAACTGTTGCCTTGCCTGAGATCAGATAACTCAGCCCAGATCTGAGATTTGTGAGTCTGTGTGACTCAGGGACACACTGGAAACATTTATCAAATCCTCCACATTTAGATCAGTTTTATCTGAATTTGCCCACAAACAATTCATTTTACAGGACATTCTGTGAAGTGTTTTGAGACGTCTCAAAGACGTGATAAGGCGCTTTATCAAATGCAAGGAATATTATTATAAACTGCTTTATTTTTAACAGATTCCAATCTCCAATGGAAAGAACCAGGACATATTAATGCACACTCTAACCTTGTCTGTGCTCCGCAGTGGGAATGCATCTCAGAACTGAGTGAGGCGAAACATTCCTAATTGTGTCGCTAAGTGAGAGAGACTCAGCCGTTGAATAAAAAATCAGGAGAGTGATATTGGGTCAGTAAGAACATTAGAGAGAAAATTTGAGAACCGGGGAAAGCATAGTAAAAACACAGCAATAACAACTTGTATTTATGTACTGTAGTACCTTTCAGATAAAACAC